GGTTTCGACGGCGACGCAGTCGGCACGCGTGCAGTCGAGGGCGTGGGCGTCGGTGTCCTGCTTGAAGACGAACTTGTAGTTGAGCGGTAGCATCTTGAAGAGCATGCGGCGCCAAAGGTCGCTGTACACCGGCGCGGCGAACTTGTACGACTCCATGAACCCCACTTGGGAGGCCTGGATCGCGTAGAGTGATGGGCGCAGCGTCGAGACCCAAGGGTGGTTTTGCACCTCCGTGACCACGGGGCTAGTCGACGCGGTTGAGCGTACAATAGCGTGGGGCGCCGTCTCGATAGGAACCCGGGCGTCCGAGAACGGAAGGAGCATGAACGGCGTGCGCGTGCCGAGCGGCAGTGCTGGGAACGCACCCCCGGTGGCGCCCGAGGCGAGGCACGCGGCTTGCCAAATGTGCGTGATGTCCTTGTAGAGCACGGCGAGCGACACGGGTCGGGGCGCGTCGGAACCTGCGACGCGGCCGTTCACCAACGCCGTAAATTGCGGGAGTGTCGGCCACTCGCCGCTGGCGGACATGAACGAGCGCAGCGTGCGGAGGTCTGAGGCAGCAACCGCGGCGTAGAACGGGCGGTGGTACCCGAGCTTCACGGCGAGGCACATCTCTTGGGTCACCGGGCGAGTCACATGAAACGTCGGGAGCACTTGGAGCCAGATCGGGGTGTCAACCAGGTCGGCCAGATGTTGCAGCGCCGTCGGGGCCGTGTAGGACTTGAGCGTCCACGGGAGCTTGTGCCAATGCGACCAGATGTCACGCCAGAGCGGCGACACTTCGGCGAGGTCAATCAGCTGCGTTGATTGGCACGGATGGTAGTACAAAAAGTCCGGGTAGTCGGGTCGGCCATACGGCGCGATGCAGGTCTCGAGCTGCCAGTTGATGGTCGAGTGGTATGACCGACAAATGAGTGTATATTGATATTGGCCTGTGGAGAAACTCAGTAGAACTCCTTTTCAGTATGCTAAAGGCGCAAGCTTCTTCTATGCTGCCAGGAGGCAATATCCATAGGGTAACTTGGCAAAATATCAACACACGCTACGCCACAGGCAAGCAAAGTGCATTTTGCACTACGTTCGGTCGAGCGACTGCGACTCGAACGCGCTGCCGGTCCAGGTCGTCACCGTTTGGAGGTCGAGGTCGGGCACGCAATACGCGTCTTGGGTGGCGCTGGTGACAATACGGACACGCGTGCTGGCGCTGCTCACGACACGCACGGTCGACTCCGCGGGCACGACCAGCATCACATTGTCGCACGCGTCCACGACGATCGTGCGGCACGTGCCGGTGAACGCCGCGCGGACGCCATGGCAGCGCACGAGCTCGAGGCTCGAGATGACCGACACAAAGGCAATGTCGATCTCGGACGATGCTGTCACCGTGACTTGCGTGACCTTGGTGTCCATCTTCAGCGAGCAGCGCACGATATTGGACGCAAAGACGCCGCTTGTCTGCGGCGGCACAGTCAGCGCCGCGTCCGTCTCCTTTTCAAACGTCACGGGCGCCGGGCGGCGCTGCATCGTCGCCAAGAGCGTGCTGGTCGGGAGCATGTCGACGACGTCGCTTTCGTATCCGGACGCAGCCGGTGCGCTCATTATCCGGAGATTCGGCGCGACGGCTTCAACGTCGTTTGCGCAAGAGACAGCGAGCGACGCACGGTGCCACCCACGCGTGCACTGCCCCACGTGGCTGGTCCTCCGGCGTCGACGGCCGCGTCATCCGCGTCCTCGCCCGAGCATGAGCTCCTCCATGCTCATGGTGAATCTCGTTGCAGGCGATGGGCCATCGGGCCACGGCCCTTGGGCGCGGCCACGCGGCCTTTCTCATGCGTAGGACGATGTTGAAGCCGGCGCCAACTCGGCGAGATCTCAAATCAGACGCCAAGAAGGAGAAGACTGCGGTCTGATCAGTGGGCCACGGCTTCAACGTCGCCCGGAGTTTTCCCGGTCTCGTAGGGTATTACGCGTTTGACTTGAAGTTTCTATGCACGGCCACTCACGCGGCTGGGACACGCCCCATCACCCTGCGTAATTCCAGTGCGTCTTGTCCGGATACCAATGGTGGCAGCGTATCCGGCGCGGCCGCAGCCCGGAGCGGAGGGTATTTCGCATTTTCATGGTCGTCGTCGTCGCCCTCGCCGCGTCGGTGGCTGCGCTGGGCGTAGGCGTAGTTGCCGCAGCGAGCGACGAGGCCTCGTGGATCGATCCTGATACGCCGGAGGACGCCAAGGTCATCGGCGTGCCAAGGACCGGCGGTGTCAACTTCTTCGAGTCGCAGACCACCAACGAGTACCGGCTCGTCTTCTCGGACGAGTTCAATACGGATAGCCGGCCGTTCGAGTCGGGCTTTGACCGGAAATGGACGGCGCTCGAGCACATTGACACGACCAACATGGGCCAGCACTACTTTTCGCCCAAGGCTGTCCAGACCGACGGCGGCAACTTGGTCATTACGACCTCCAAGCCAAAGACGCCCTTCCACGATGCGCACTATGTGAGCGGGAGCGTCCAGACGTGGAACAAGTTTTGCTTTACGGGCGGGTACGTCGAGATGAAGGCGATTCTGCCGGGCAAGTGGGGCATCCCGGGCACGTGGCCGGCCTTTTGGATCATGGGCAACCTCGGGCGCGCCACGTACCTCGGGTCCCAAGAAGGCATGTGGCCGTGGACGCTCGACTATTGCGTGCCCATGGACGACATGATTGACATTCCGCAAAAGGTCAGCGCGTGCAACAACCTCACGGACCCGGACGACCCGAGCTCGCTCCCCGAAAAGTACGGCCTTCACCCGCGCCAAGGCCGCGGCGCGACCGAGATTGATGTGTTTGAGATTCAGATCAAGAAGAAGGACGACCCGGCGTTCATGTCGACGTCGCTCCAGCTCAGCCCGGGCTTGACGGACGCAATGCGCCCGGACTCGGGCAACCTCCCAGGCCCGACCCAGTGGTACTCGAACCTCACGTTTGGCAACTACACCAAGATCAACAGCGACTACTACGGCGAGCGCGGGCGCGACTCGATCTCGGCGCTCACGCAGCTCCAGACCGACGCCTTCCTTCGGTACCACACGTACCGGCTCGAGTGGATGCCGGGCTACGACGGCTACATTCGTTGGTGGCTCGACAACAACTTCCTTTTCGAGGTCGCCGGCGCCGCGCTCAACAAGTGGGCCGACGGCATCCCGCCACGCATGATCCCGGTCGAGCCGAGCTACCTCATCATCTCGACGGCCGTGTCGGAGAAGTTTTCGCCGCCGTGCGACGGCCAGCTCTGCGACTCGCTCTGGCCCTCCAACTTTACCATCGACTATGTCCGCGTCTACCAAGGTCCGCGCAACGAGTACACGTCGCTCGGCTGCAACCCGCCGGCGTACCCAACGCGCGACTGGATCGCTGCGCACCCGGTCGAGTTTGGCCTGCCGTGGTACACGTCGCTGCCAGCATGGACGTACGCGCTGCACGTTGGCGCCGGTCTGCTCGGCCTTGTCGGGTTGTACATTGGCGTCTTGGGGCACGCGGCGAGCTGGCTCGCAGCGCCGCTCGCGACTACGACGCTGAGCACGTGCCTCTTCTACACGCTCTTCAACGTCGGCCTCGTGTCGCTTCCGTTTGTCCCAACAGCGCTCGCGCTCCTCTGCGGCATGGTCTTTGGCGGCCTCTCGGGCCTTGTGCGCACCTCGGCGCTCGCGGGCAGCGCGGTGCTGGTCGTCGTCGTCGCGGGCTTTGGCGCGATCGAGCTCTCGTCGACTGTGGCGCTGCAGATCGTGTCGGGCTGCCTCTTTTCGCTGAGTTTGACGGCGCCACTGGTCGTCTCGTCGACGATCCTGCTGGAAATCGTCGCCACGTCGGTGCTCGGCGCGGTCGCGATCGTGCTGGCGGTCTCTCGGTTTGTGAGCAACGGCGACTTTGCCATCGGGCTCTGGTACGCGTTTGGCACGCTTCTCTCGGGCGCACCGCCGCAGCCACTGTGTACGGTGTACTGCTGGGAGCTCTATGCGACGTGGGGGCTTTTGGCAGTCTCGATGCTGCTCCTGCAGCTGCTCGTGTGGCTGCAGCACCCGGTGCTAACGCCCGGCGCTGGCAGCAGCAAGATGCCGTTTGCGAGCACGGACGCGCGGGCGTGGAAGCCCGAGCTGTCGTCGGCGCCCAACCTCTTTGCACTGCACGCGCTGCCGCCCAAGATGCAGCCCTTTGCGCCGCTGGGCAAGATTGCGACGCATGTCGCCCGCACGTTTGGGTTCCAGCCGGCCAACGCGCACAATCAGATGGAGCATTTGCTCGTGCTGCTGACCAACGTGTCGCGCGGGAGCCAGAACCCGTACCTTGTCTTGCACAAGTCGGTGTTTGAAAACTACCACCAGTGGTGTCGCAAGCTGCACGTGGCGCCGGCCGTCGGCGGCAGCAGCGTCGAGGACGTGGTCACGGACCTCTGCCTCTTCTTCTTCATTTGGGGCGAGGCGAGCAACTGCCGGCACGCCCCCGAGTTCCTTAGCTTTCTCTTTCACCAGATGAAGACCGAGTACGCCACGTCGCGCGGGTACCGGGACCCCGGGTACTTTTTGGACGCGGTCATTACGCCAATTTACACGCTCTTGAGAACCGAGATGGTCGCCAACCAGCTCGACCACGAGAACCGGCGCAACTACGACGACTTTAACGAGTTCTTTTGGACGCCCCACTGCCTCCAGTTTGACTACAAGAGCCCCGAGTACCACAACAGCGACGCCAGCTTTGCCGGCCCGCCGATCGCGACCGCGTGGTCGAGCGCGACCAAGACATACTATGAGAAGCGGCACTGGCTCACAGCGATCCGCGCGTTCAAGCGTGTGTTTGAGTTCCACATCGTGTCGTTCCACCTGCTTGTGGCTGTTGCGTTTACGCAGCACGCGGCCATGACGACGGCGACGACGCTGCATGTGCTTGCAAGCGTGCTCTTGTCGCCGATCTTCCTCGGCGTCTTTTGGGCGAGCCTCGACGTCGCTGTCATGTACCACCCGAGCGTCCCGCTGCTGCACGTGCTGCGGCTTGTGGTGCGGCTTGTGCTGCGGCTTGCGGCCGCGACGCTCTGCGGTCTTTTGTACTGGTATGCGTGGAACACGCCGTCGTACTGGCGCAGCTTTTACGTGCTCACGGGCGTCGTGCACATCCCGACGGTGCTGAACGCGCTGCTGCAAGTCGCGCCCGGCACGACCACGTGGCTGCGCCAGAGCACGTGGCCGCTCTTGGTGGTCGTGCGCGATACGCTCTCGCCGCTCAACAAGCTCTACGTGGGCGACAATGTGCTCGACACTGCGGCCGACTCGGTGCAGTACCAGTGCTTTTGGGTCTCGCTCATTGCGTGGAAGCTGCTGTTCTCGTACAAGTTTGAGATTGTGCCGCTCGTGACGCCGACGCTGCTCCTCTTTGCGGACCATGTTGAGAACGACGTGAGTTTGCTCTTGACGTCCGGGCTCATGCTGCTCCAGTGGCTGCCGTTCTTTATGATATTCTGCATCGATATGACGATTTGGAACTCGATCTGGGTCGCGTTTTGCGGGACATTTGTGGGCTTTTCGCTCAAGATTGGCGAAGTGCGCACGTTTGACCGCGCGCGCCACGCGTTCTTCCGGGCCGCCGACGCGTTCAACACCAAGCTCGTCTCGAAGGACAGCAAGACAGGCGGCGAGCTTGCGTCGGCGCTGACGACGTCGAGCTACGGCACGTTGCACCAAGAAGTGTTGTCGCTCGACGATGTGCTCGTGCCCGGCGCGCGCACCAAGTCGTCGTCGACGCCGCTGCTGAGTTTTACGCGCCGGACGCCGTCGCGCGCCGAGAAACACCTCGAGCGCCGGCGCAAGTGGACGTCGTTTGCAACGGCGTGGGACACGATTGTCGACTCGCTCCGCGCCGACGACTTTTTGAACAATGCCGAGCTCGCGCGCCTCAAGTTCCAGCGCATTCCCAACTTTGAGCGCGGCGTGTACCTCCCGCTCTTCCAGCTCGCGGGCTGTTTCGAGCAGTTTACGCTGCATGTCAAGACGCAGACCGACGTGCTCACGAGCGCAAGCATCGCCGACTTGCTGCACGACGCGCCGATGGTCGACGAGGCGATCGGCGAGGTGTGGGAGCTCACGAACTGGGTGCTCAACAACGTGCTCGGGCCGTGTCACTCGAACGACGTGCGCTTCATCTGCGCGGCGTTTGCGGGCTGGATCGACCGCGGGTTGTACCACGGCGTGCAGTGGCAAAAGCTCGGCGCGGCCGCGTCCGCGCTCGCCGACGTCCTCGGCTTGCTCCAGGCGCAGATGCCGCACTGGAAGGCGTCGGCCAAGAACATTCCGGTGCGCAAGCCGCCGAGCGAGTATGCGCAGTTTCAACACGGCGCTGCGACCAAGTCGACGGTCATGCACAAGTCGGCGTCCACGACCGGGCTGGCGTCCATGGGGTCGGCAGATGTACCGCGGCGGTCGCGCGGCTCGGGCGTCGCGCGCATTGCGGCGCTGCAGCAGATCCCGTCGGCCGCGCCGTCGACGAAATCGCTCGTGACGCCGATTCCCCAAGTCCACTTGCTGC